CCCCAAAACCCCAAAACCCCAAAACCCCAAAACCCCAATAGGGGATTTTTATATTGAAAGCAGGATTGAAAAAAATATAAGAAAAATTAGCGGGAATTAAGATTCTCTGATGATTTTAGTAAGATTCATGAAGAAGATTTCTTGGTTATTAAACCCATGATTTTCGACCGAGATAAATACTTTGCAGAGTTCCTTAAACTCTCTCTTTTTGTATTTCCTGTAGAAATTTCTGATGTTCTTGTAGGTCAGGAGTTTATGGAAGAATGCTTTAGCTTCTTTATCAGAATCTCAACTCCATCTATCATCTATCTGACCTATTTGAGTCAAGTACATTGGGCATCTTTTATCATTTATTTCCCAGTCTTCATTGTGTTTGAAGATGTTCCCATTCGGATCAGATTTATCAAGGTCAGATTCTTTCTTACCTCAAAAATAACACCAAACTGTGTTACAATTGTCTCAGATCATATGAGTGCAAGCGTCATCTTTGATTCCTCCAACTTTGCATTCTGGACAACACCTTTTTGTACCACTTTCAATTGCCTTATCCCAATCTTCTTTGACATCCTTGTACTCGTAGCACTTGTGATGAGTGAGCATGCCTCCTTCTTCTTTCATTTTTCCAAGTTCATCCTCAGTCACAGCCATGCCTTTGGGAACCTAAAGTTATAATAAGCACTTACTTTGAATTCTTTAAATCAAACTGAGCAGCTTCCTTTATTTGCAGTCTTGCTTCTTGCAGTAGAAGAAGTTGGACGAATTGGCTTTTGCCCATATCTCAAAGTATTTGCAGAATGGACAACTCATAACTTTGTCAACTTTCGGGTCAACATCTTTCATGGCTTTGTACATCAGGTATACTTCAAGCTGGTCTGGAGTCATCTGCATTTCTAGCCGAACAGAATTGAGCTTAACTTTGCACAGAGAGCATTCAGCAGGAATCTTGGTTTCTGGTTCTGATAGTATATTTTCTACAAGAGTCTTGCAACAATCTGTGCATACATCATGCCCTTGATTACACTTAACACCATCATGTTCTCTGAATAAAGCATCTCCACAAGAAAGGCATTTAACTATACCTTTTGCCTTAAGTGATTTCATTTATTTTATTTATATCATGTAAATCTTTTTATATATCACCAAAGATTTTTTCAATATTTACTCTAATAAATGGGGTTTTGGGGTTTTGGGGTTTTGGGGTTTTGGGG